TGTTGTATATGTAAGATTGTTTTTAAAACTCCTATTATCTATTGTTAAGGAATAATTTTTAAAAGAAGGTAGGATCATGATTTTCACATAGACATAAAATGAACATATGTCAAAGATTTTTAACTTATTAATTAATGAAAGATCAGCAAAATGCTATGATTGTTTTGAAGAATTCAAAGGGCAGAGATATATAAACGGTATAAAAAAATTTGAAATGAAGGGGTGCCTGAGTTCGGCTCAGGTCATAATTTCAGAATCATGAGATTGAGTCCTGTGTTCTGCTTAAGATTCTCTCTCTCCCTCTCCCTCCACCCCTCCCTATATGCGTGCATACCTGCACATGTGCACGCATGCACAAAACACACACTCTCTCTCTAAAAAAAAAAAAAAAGAAGAAGAAGAAGAAGAAAAAGAAAATCTGAAATGAATTTACAAATAGATGCAAAACCACTCTGTTTATCAATGTAAAAATCAGGGGCATTCTATGGAACACTACTTTGCATTTATACAGACATGAATTATTTGCATTATAATGAGATTTCTACAGGTTACAGAGTTGTAATATCAGTTAAAGATGAGAAAACCTATGTGTATCTGAGTTGTCACAATGGCCACTATTTGATTTTTGCCCATTTCAAAGTCTCTCATAATTTTTTCTGGCAGTCCCTTTTCCTCTTTTTGTCGTAAGTTCAAAGAATCATCATTCTGATTAAAATAAGGCTCGTCGCATTAGATTTGCCTGGTTGTTTACATAGATGCAGTAAAAGTGTCATTTTACCATATAGGACACATTAAGTTTTCTTTGTAAACTCTAAAACCATACAATTTTGAACAAATACTAAATTAAATTATGTCTGCAAGTTTTCATAAGAAATCTCAAACTGGATTTTTAAAACCCTCTATTATTTGGTGACTTGAGGCTAGGAAACCAAGCGCAAGAAATACTCTCCACCATATTTCACCTGAAATACCTATAAATTTGAGTAAATTCCTCTTTTCTCAAGGTCCCCCAAATATACTAAGTTTACATGTACTTAATATATAATATTCTTAGACTTTCTAAGCCAAGAAATAGGCCAGGGCTTTGTAGGTATTGCTTCCATAAGTAAAATCAAACTTAATCCAGGATGAGGGGCTGTTCCTACCTGATTAAAAGAGTATTGTTTTTGAATACAACATTCCAAGCAAGGCCCTGGTTTTTCAATTTGTACAATTAAACCTGATTAAAAAATAATAATAACAGCTTTTTTTTAAACCTATGCACATAACTAAATGACCATGGAAAGTGTAAAGTAGGTATAGTTTCATTTAATCTTTTCTATACTTATTGAACACTCCATCTGAAATGAAGTATGTACTATATGTTCACTAATTGAATTTAAATTTAAAAAATCCAATTATGGAGAGGCAAAAATTAGAAAATAAAATTGTTAGAGGCTATTTGGACATTTGATTAAGATAGGATCGGGGTACTAGAGAAATAATATTGAGTTATATATTTAATTAAATAAGTAAGATAATAAAACATTTTAAATAAATATAGATATTAGCATGGTTGTAAAGAAACATTTTTATAAGTGAGGAATCTTTGTTCTTTACTTTCTTTTATTTTTTATTTCTTTTTCTTAATCAAGAATGTAATAAATTCAACATAAAGCACAGAAAAATATTCTTACAAGATACACATTATTTGCTACCTAGACAGATTACACAGAGGTCAAAAAAATATTTTATGTAGTAGGCAAAGGAATGAATCAGTAAGTAAAGAAAGCAACCCCATCAAGATAAGGCAAACTTTACAGAAATTTTCATACATTTCATCATTTCTTTTCAAACTCAAGTACTGTAACCCAGGACAAGTAAAATTTACTTCCAAATTTGCCCTTTATTTTGCTTTTTCTGGCACAGCAATTCTCAGGATATCCATGAGCTCAAAATAATTTTTATATTAAGATGTTATTTCAGTTAACATTTTCATTTGTGTTCATCATTGCTTTAGTCAAATGAATCAGTAAGTCTTTAAAAATATCTCAGTTTCAACTTCTGATTTGGTAAATATTGATGGTGATAATTCACACAAAATTTTTTTTGGAGTCCTCAGTCGCAAGATTGTACAGAGGTTCTGAAAAGGAACAAAAGGGGGAAAAAGGCCTAAAAAACATTGCTGCATATAATTATGTAGTGTATGTGTATATATAAAATCAGTACTATAGAACTTGCACTATAAGACAAAACTACTTTCTCTTTGGAACAGAAAGGCATATAGACAGTGGTTTCAGTCTGTCCCCATTACTTAGTGGAATTTCAACCACTCATGTTAATTGTGACTTTTAATCAAAGTAACTTCTATTTCAGTGAGAAAACTAGAGGTAGAAATTAACAACTGTCTTCCACAAAAAGTATTTTAACCGAATAACAAAATTTGTGTTGCACCTGTCTCCAGCCACACTTTTTTAAAGAGACAAAATGAACGGGTCCATTGACATGACCCAAAGATAGGAATGTTTCATGAAATATAAGAAACAGTATATAAAGTTAAATTGTGCACTAAATGTTCAGTATTCTTAGTTAGAAATTATCTTGATATCAAATTAATATTCATCATATAATTCAACTTTATAGCAGTCGAAGGCTTTAGGTTACCTAGAGATCTTGGGAATTATATTTAACCTGACGTATTAAAAATAAAACATAAAATAAATAAAATAAATAAAACATAATTACTATTGAAATAAAGTTCTCAGAATAATGATTTGATTTTGCTGAATACAAATTTATATTTTTCATTATCTTAAATATTGTGTAGAAGTAATGTGAGTTTATTGGATCAGTATACCCGAGTAAGTTTAAGAAAAGCAAACCCAAGGAGAATAAAATGTATACTTCACCTAATACTGATAAATCAGACTAGAAGCTGTTTTTATTAAACCAAAATTATTACACTGGTCTAATTTGCCAAAAATTTATCTTAATTACATGAACTTAAATATTCAAAACATTTCTGAGTTTCTATAAGAATAAAAAAAAAAGATTGATTTATTGATCGATTTACTTCAGAGAGAAGAGAGCAGATGGGGAGGGGCAGAGGGAGAGGCAGTGAGCATCCCAAGCAGTCTCCACAGAGACCTGAGCCCGACACAGAGCTTGATCTCATGACCCTGAGATCATGACCTGAGCCGAAACCAAGAGTCAGATGCCCAACCAACTGCACCACCCAGGCACCCCTATAAAAGTAACTTTTTAAGTATAGCACATATCAAGTATCAAAACTTTGATTTTCTCATTTTCCTGGAATCTTAAACATTAGCCACAGGCCAAAAGTAAACACAAAAAAATTATCAGACTATATATCAAAAAGTTGTTTCCTTTCCTGGTGAGCATGAGATTCTTAATTTGAGATCAAAAGACAAGTAGACAAAGAAAATAAAATACTAACAAATCAGATTCGCTGTTGTCTTCCATCCAAGAAAGAATAAATCTCTATAATCTATTACTCCATTTACATGGATCACAAAATTTTGGCCACAAAACACAAAACCAAAAATCTGAATCATTACTGTTACTAATGAGGAATCATTTATTGATTGTGAAAGTTATAAAAACAAAGCACATAAGTATTAAAATGGAAAATATGTAAAGAAACAGAGGATCAGGAAAGTGAAAGTTCTGTTACAATAGGGAATTTACTTCTAGGAGCCAAGAGAAGCCCTGGTTAATTGTTTACAAAATAATTTTTTGTAAAAGGATAAACTTACAACTCTCATACAGATACAAAATGAATGTGCCAACTATTTTATTTAATTTCCTAATTATAGACAGAACCAGTAAGGTAGTGGAAACAAAGGGGAATTCTAAGAGCAAAACATATATAGGAAATAAGAAAATTTGAAATTAATTTACAAATAGATGCAAAGTAGAACTCAATGTAGGGCAATAATGAATTAAATTTTATTGGGTACAATTAATTTGCATCTTTTGGGCAAGTATATTTTGCATTATTATCAAGTTTCCACAACTTAAAGAGTTGTAAAATAGCACAAAAAACCGTGAAAGGCAGAAAAAAAAATTGGATGAGGGAATCACTCAAGACACCCACAATCTTTGTTTACGCATTTCAGTCTTTACGGTTTTGCTGACTCTACTTAGTAAAAGATGGATCCAATGTTTTTTTCTTGCTAGCACAAGAAATTAGTACCGTGGTGGCGAAGCAGAACCATTATGCCTTTCCTCTACTCCCACATCGAAATGTCTTATCATCTCTTCCTATAAAAAGAAGAGAGAGCAAGTAACTTCATTCATTTGTGCATTGAATATTATTTTCCAATTGTAGATATTACCAACTCTTTTAGAATCTCTTCTCTCTCATCAATACCATAATAGTGAATACTTGTTCCTGCAGGAGCTCCCTAGAAGCCTAAAAGTATGATAGACTATTGTGAATAAAGATAGAAGGAGCAAATCTTTTTTCACAGATTCTAATTTGAAGGGGGGAAAAACAGTTCAATTAGTTTTTAAACAGACAAGAAGCTTCCAATTAAACCCAACATGGGCAGGTACTTCCACTAGTTTGAATCAATTGCAAACTCAAGTTCATTTTTTATTGGACAGATTTGAAATTATGATAGTATTCTTTTAGATTTTAGATTTTTAGACTTCTTTTTATTAATCTGTGATCATATGTGTTTAAGAAGTTCTTCCCTGGAAGTTCTGCAAAGTTAGTGATCCATGGGGTTTAGCAGAACCCAGAGAGCATAAGCCTGGGACACTGTTTTGACCCTAGATATTTTCAGTGACATCATTACCCAGGGTGTCAAAGCTTCTGATTAGAATTATCACTACTTCTGAGAAAAAGAATCTGAGGGGAAAATGAAAATGTCTCCATGGCCATAGCATTTTGTTGTTCTGTTTGCTATAGTATTAAAGCAGGAAGAAAATTTATTTAATGCCAATCATTTGCATGATGGACTGGACTGATTAACAATATGATTTATGTATTTTAGACTTTACCAGGTGACAACTCTACTAGAACTCCTATCCAAACAGAACTCTACATTCAAGCTGTTATTTTTGACCACATTTCCAGAAGAAAGACTTAACTACTAACATGATAGATGGTCCCCTAAAGGCCTACTAAGTTTGATTGAATCCTGTAACCAGAAGCAAATTAGAATAATAAATGAATCCTGTGGCTGGAAGACAAATTAGAATAATAAAAGTTGATAAAGAATTTAGAAAAAGCATAATCTTTACTGTCTTTATGTGGTACGTATCTTAATGTGATTTGAGTTTTTTCTGAATTCCTCCCCCCCCCCCCCCCCCCCCCCGCCGAATACTGAAGCTGATTGCAACAGTTCATGGGAGAGAATCTTCTTGCTACTTATTTTGTAGCTCAGATTTTCCAAAACAAAAAATGTTCCAGGTCCTGATATTGCCAAATATAGTGAACCAAAATCTATACCATGTGGCAGTGCTATCTACTAAATTTGTTGAATATTGATAAGAAATCTGAAGGTGAAGAATAAGAGGAAGAAAATATGAATACAAAGTTTTCAATAGCTCCATATGAGAAAATAAAATCTGAAAAGTTCCACAAGATGATGTAGAAAATGAAGTGTTTGATATATTTATGCACCTAGACAATATGAACCTCATGACAATGAAGCTGAGAAAATGAAATCTACAAGAAACCAAAAGATTTTAGAAAAGTGAGAACTTCATTAGTGAACAGGTTTTACTGCGGTGCCCCTGCAGGTGGCTTTTGTGCAGAAAAGATATTATTCAAGAAGTCACTTGTGATTTAAAAATTAACATTTGGTTCTTCCTCTTATCCCCATTCTCTTCTCTTCCCTTCCTAAACACTCCAGTACTAAGGCACTTAGTCAGTGCCAAGCAAAGTGGAAGTCTGCTCAATGTGTGGGAATAGGAAAGTCCAGAGTAGGGGATCAGAGTTTCAATGGGGTGAGAAGGGTATATTCATAGGGGAGGAGATGGCCTGTCACAAGATTGCAGATTCCAGTCAAGATGAGTAGAGTGGTATTAAATTAGAATTGAATGTATTTTATGATCTCATCATTTTCAATATATAAACAGATACAGAACATATGTTAATGTTTTCTGTATGCATCTTCCCACACTTTGTTCAATAAGAGGGCCTCAAAACAGCAACACCCAATATCAATGAGCACACACAGCACCCAGATCTTGGTTCTCCCCACCATTTTCTACCAAAAGGAAGCAAGGATCTTTGGGAAAATGACTATTCCCGGGCTAAGGCAGAGAAAATACACTAGTCTAGAACATCTTTTTGTGCCGGAAAGCAAAGAAGTTCTTGAAAAATGAAGAGATTTATCAAAAGGACATTGAATCCACCTTGAAAAAATTCCCACTGGCCAAACCTGGGACAGTTTGGGCATCAAAAGAAATCATGAGAACCAGGCAGAAAGTAGAAAACCAAAAGCACACACTGATTTACATAAATGAATAAATGGAAAGTTTGATGAGGAATGGGATATTTACATAGCATCTCCCACAAAATATGTATTCATTATAGAGAAATAATAGAAAAGCCTGGAAGACACCATTTTCAACAATGATCAAAGAGAATATGTTTAGTTATAAGCAACTGAAATTGTTCTCCACCAAATAATATGCAATAGAGGAATTCATCATCGCTTTTGTGGTAATCCTGCCAAAGTTGTATAACCTGAATAGAATCAAGAGAAAACTCAGAAAAAAACAAATCCATGGACATTATGCAAAATGACTGACCTGAGATCTTCAAGGTGTCAAGATCTTGAGAATAGAAGAGTGAGAAATTATCTCAGTCTAAAGGAGCCTAGAGAGACATGATAATCAAATCCAACACATGACTGTAAGTTGCATCTTTATCCTATAAAGGGAATTTGGGGACAACTGGTGAAACTTGAATGGTTTCTGAGGATTAGATGTAAAAATGTTTATGTCCTGATTTTGATGATTATGTTGTGGTTATATTAGAAAATGTCCTTGATTGTGAGAAATTACACTAAAGCATTTGGGAGTGAAAGGGCATCATGTCAGCAAATTATTTATAAATATTTCAGGGGAAAAAAGGTCTTTGTGCTGTACTTCAATTTTTTGTAATTCTGAAATTGTTTTGAAATTTAAAAATATTTGATTTATTACATTTATAAATTAAAAACTCTAGTTATTCGAACTCTAAATATTTGTATAAATTTTATTGTTCTATCTATAGATTTGATGAAATTTTTACTGTTCTTTTTATGAGTTCTTTTATAGTTAAACTAAATTTCTTTAAACATTTTAAATTTTGTGATGTTCATTACATTCAATTTTATAACTATTTCAAATTTCTAACTAACAAATAAGCCTTCATATACATTTAAATAACTCTTATAAATTTAAGAATTTAGAGACTAGTGTTCTCTTAAAAGTTTCAGTATGGTTTATACATTTATAAAATTTTAATTGAAAATCATGTCTGAACTAATTATTCAAATATCATATTTTAAATTTGAAGAGTATATGCCAGTTTTTCATAAATGTTTAAAGTATTTTAAATATTTTAAATATCTATTTTTAAATATAGGCATTTAAAATACTTAATATATTTACAGATTACTCCTATATTTAATTCCAAGGTTTAAGACACTAAAAAAATCAATTTTATTATCACAAGTAATTTTTTACATTAGCTTCTGGACTGAATTTACAGAAAGTAAATAATGAATGGAGACTTGAGTTGGACTATGGGATATATTCATTTGCTAGGGCTGACATAACAAAATACCACAGACAGCGTGACTGAAACAACAGAAATTTATTATCCAGAAGTTCTGGAGACTGGAACCAAGATCTAAGGTGTCAGCAAGTTTGATTTTTTTCTGAGCACCCCCCCCAACGCCCCACCCTCTTACTTGTAGGTGGCAGCCTTCTTGCTATTTTTTCACATGGTTTTTCCTCTGTGCAGGTCTCTGGTGTCTCTCCACATATCAAAATTTCTCTTTATGAGAACACCAGATTGGATTAGAGTCCACCTGGTGACCTCATGTTAATTTACTTACCTCTTTAAAAGGTTTTGTTTCAAAATGCAGTCACATTCTGAGGGCCTAGGGGATAGGACCTCGACCATGAATTTTGGAGGGATACATAATTCAGTCCCATACATGGAATGTGGACTACAAATATCCAGGATATTTTTCTCATGATTAGACTGTTTCAGCCAATGCTAAGCCAAGTCTAGACCTCCAAGGATTCCAATATCATTTCTTTCAAATGTGGATTGCCTTGCTTTACGGGAGCCGTGGATTCAGGTATCATATTAACTAATTTTGTAGTCTAATTGGAGTTTGCAGCATCAACCCAGGTCAATTGATACTCACTGAATCTTTATAAGGTCTCATTCTACTTTTGAATAGTTCTTATATCTATCAGTAGAGCCATGATACCTATAAATATTTAAATGGCATCTAATGGGGCACCTGGGTGGCTCAGTTGGTTAAGCGTTTGCCCTTGGCTCAGGTCATGATCCCAGGATCATGGGGTCATGACCTTTGTGTTCATGATTTTGTATTCTCTTTGTATGCTTTCTGTTTTAGAACACAAAGCACGGGGCTCCCTGCTCAGCTGGGGAGTCTGCTTTTCTCTCTCCCTCTGCCTGTTGTTCCCTCTGCTTGTGCTCTCTCTCTGTGTCAAATGGATAATAAATAAATAAATAAATAAATAAATAAATAAATAAATAAATGTATCTGGTTGTATTGAGCCTATTTCTCATGTCTTGCCTTGCTCTGTGGTCACAGTTCTAAGGAAGGTCAAACTAATGCAGCTATTACAAACTGGAATTTCCCTTCATGGATAAGGTGACCTTCACCCAATAAAGAAGACAGAGCAATTAGAGAACTGTTATGCCTGAGTACAGAGTACACTAAGAAAGTAATTTTAACCTGATACTAATGGTGGACTTCAGGGCCAAAGAAAGGGAATATGTGAAATGTATGTGAGAATCAGAAGAACACTGGGCCAAAAACACAGGATGAAAGAATGAGCTAGCCGACCGAAAGGAAATGAAACAAGAAATTGAACGACGTAATAAAGAGTAAAGAGCATTAAGAACCAGACTATTTGGCAAACTTGATGCTGTTAATTGACCAAATCATTTTATCTCTCCAGACTCTGGCTTTTGAAAGTCTCTTCAAAATCCAAAACATTTCTGATTTCTCTGCTGTTTTTCTAATCTATTTTTAGACTCCATCCTCTGAATAGAACAGCCTTGCGAGTTAAGTGTAATTTTCTCCAAGTAACAGTTCAAGTGTATTATCCAAGACTCTGCTTGCAAGTGACAGAAATTCAATTTGAATCTTTTTTATAAAAACATGGAAGTGTCTCCCAGAACTAAAGAAAGGAATATATCTGCATCCCAGGAATAATTATACAAACGTAATCAAACACTTGAATACTATCAGAACTCTCGCTCGATTTCATGACTATGTTCCTCTCTGCGCATCGTTATTCTCTTCCAACAGAACAGCCTTTCTATTTTGATGGACAGACACACACACACACACACACACACACAATCTTTCTTTCTTTCTTTCTTTCTTTCTTTCTTTCTTTCTTTCTTTCTTTCTTTTTCGTTCTTTCTTTTCTTTTCTTTTTCTTCCTTCCTTCTTTTCCTTCTTTTTCTTTCTCTCTCTCCCTGTCTCCCTTTCCTGTCCTCATTCCTTCCCTCCCTTCTTGTCTCTTTTTCCCAATTCCGGAATCCCAGAGAAGGGATGCTTGACTCAGCTTTACTTCCCCCACCAAAATTTGAATTCTAAAGAGATCAGGCTCTACAGACTTATATCTCCCAAATTACAACAACTATGATAACCTTGTGAATGAATGAGAATCTTCAGAAAAGCAAGTAATTTGGGGGACACAGCAAGGCCTCCAGTTGAATGGAGCGAAAGCAAGTGTAGGAGGGAAGAAAAGGAAAAAGCTCAGGTACTCAGTCATGGAGCAACAAGTCACTTCTCCCCTTTTCACTGGTGGCAACAACAGAAGAAAAAGCAGCAGTGGCAATATGACTGATGAATATTATCTTTGTATGTTTTCTGTTTTAGAACACAATTTTCTGGGATAAATAATTGCATAATCAGAACTACCTGACATATGACCAACCTCTTCACTGTTATTGTAGCTTTGTAGGATATACTGTATGATAACATGCTTTAAACAATAGACAATAACTATAAACTTTCTTAATCTCAAGGAAATTAAAAGGAA